TTGAGTGATGTTGGATAGTGCCGGTCACAGACGCTTTTTTAATTGAGGAAAGACACATACTGAAACCTCACACTTTGATTTTTATTGGAGATTGCNGCACGCTTTGAGTGGGGATAGCTACATACTGAAACCTCACGAGTTGAGTGGTGTTGGATAGTGCCGGACACATAGACGTGTTGAGTGAGGATAGCTGCATACTGAAAGCTCACAGATGGATTGGTTTTTGAGTTTGCCAGACACAGACGCACGCTTTGAGGGGGGATAGCTACATACTGAAACCTCACGAGTTGAGTGATGTTGGATAGTGCCGGACACATAGACGTGTTGAGTGAGGATAGCTGCATACTGAAAGCTCACAGATGGATTGGTTTTTGAGTTTGCCAGACACAGACGCACGCTTTGAGTGGGGATAGCTACATACTGAAACCTCACGAGTTGAGTGGTGTTGCATAGTGCCGGACACATAGACGCTTTGAGTCAGGAAAGACACACACTGAAACCTCACAGGTTAATTTGTATTGAGATTGCCGGACACATAGACGTGTTGAGTGAGGATAGCTGNAAGACATGTTGAGTGAAGATAGCTACACACTGACACCTCACAGATGGATTGGTTTTTGAGTTTGCCAGACACAGACCCTTTGAGTGGGGATAGCTACATACTGAAACCTCACGAGTTGAGTGGTGTTGCATAGTGCCGGACACATAGACGCTTTGAGTCAGGAAAGACACACACTGAAACCTCACAGGTTAATTTGTATTGAGATTGCCGGACACATAGACGTGTTGAGTGAGGATAGCTGCATACTGAAAGCTCACAGATGGATTGGTTTTTGAGTTTGCCAGACACAGACCCTTTGAGTGGGGATAGCTACATACTGAAACCTCACAGTTTGATTTTTATTGGAGATTGCCGGACACATAGGACATACATGTTGAGTGAAGATAGCTACACACTGACACCTCACAGATGGATTGGTTTTTGAGTTTGCCAGACACAGACCCTTTGAGTGGGGATAGCTACATACTGAAACCTCACGAGTTGAGTGTTATTGGATAGGGCCAGACACATAGGCGCTTTTTAGTGAGGATTGTTCGTGCGTAGAAGTAGATACAGTAGCGGCTACGGTTTAAGAGAACTTATTTAAGAGAAAGTACGGATTT